CTACCAATAAATGGAACATTCTTCCCAATGACCACCAATATAAGGGACATTCTTCCCACTGACCACCAATAAAATGAACATTCATCTCACTGACCACCTATTTAAGTAGCACTCTTCCCACTGACCACAATGTAAGGGTCATTTATCCTAATGACCACCAATGTAAGGAACATTCTTCCCACTGACCACCAATAAATGGAACATTCTTCCCACTGACCACCAATGTAAGGAGCATTCTTCCCAATGACCACCAATAAATGGAACATTCTTCCCAATGATCACCAATATAAGGGATATTCTTCCCACTGACCACCAATAAATGGAACATTCTTCCCAATGACCACCAATGTAAGGGACATTCTTCCCACTGACCACCAATAAAATGAACATTCATCACACTGACCACCTATTTAAGTAGCACTCTTCCCAATGACCAAAAAGTAAGGGTCATTCATCCTAATGACCACCAATATAAGGGACATTCTTCCCACTGACCACCAATAAATGGAACATTTTTCCCACTGACCACCAATGTAAGATGCATTCTTCCCACTGGCTTGTAACTATCCATGTAACTATGAATGCTCTACCTCCAAACTGCAGTTCTTGAGTTTTCCTGTTTTTGAAGTTGTTTTTGTTTCCAGTCATTCTTTCTATAAACTTTATGGAGGGATTACCAATGCAAAGCATTCCATTCCCATGAAGAAAGTGCAAACCAAAATTTCTCAAGGGGGCACCCAGATTTGAACCAGGGACCTCTCGATCTGCAGTCGAATGCTCTACCACTGAGCTATACCCCCTTAGATGTTTGAGGTGGGTAATGTAACTTTTTTTCAGTAGTAGGTGCACCTGCATCCCATCTGAGATCATTCATTCTGTCATTTACACCTGGACCCTTCCCAGGCCAAGCAAGGTATCAGTGTTATGTACGGCCATCTTCTACAAAACAGGGAAGATGTTCTTCTGCATGCTAGGGAAGATATTCGACCCAGGCCAGTTGTGAGCAGTAAAGAGGCAACGTTTCATCATAGGAATAGCATAAGGCCTCTTCTATCGCAGGTACGTCATTCTCTACAAGTGACCCTGCCAGGGGCGGACTGACCATTTGGAAAATCGGGCACTGCCCGAGGGCCCGGGGTCAGTAGGGGGCCCCATGAGATGCCCCTGGTACCTTTTTCATAGGCTTTTTTGAGTTTGGGCAAGGACACAGGGGCCCCATGATCCCCTATTGCCCGGGGGCCCCATGAGTTGTCAGTCCGCCCCTGAACCCTGCAAAAGGGTTACTTTAATGCATGGTCAGGTATTTTACACCGAACTCCCTGTAAGTCATTTCAGGTCATGACTTGAACCCTTCCTCTTGGAACAAAATTTTCGCATTGGGATGAGCCAAAATCTACAGAACGAGCAAATTATAAACCCGCTTCTCGAAGCTCAGCAGATACACGGGTTAATCAGTTCTCAGAAGTTAATATATATATCGCTGTGCTGTGGGTATTGGGCACTGGTGCTCTTTGGACTTTTTTCACTGCACAATATCCCAAGCTGATTGCTTTACTATTGTTTGTATAATGTAGGATTTAGGCCGGCCATACATGGGTCGAAATTCGACCGATTTTTTTTTCGTCCGAAAATCAGACCTAAGAATAATCAGCCGATTTTCGCTCTGTTAGTGGGTCAATGGCGATTTTCGTGGTTCCTCCCCTTTTCGGTGATCGGCATGTTGGAAAATCTGTGAAAAACGACAGATTTTCTACTCAATAATGGTCAAATCGTACGATCGTTTTTCTGAAAAGAATATGCGCATGAGCCGTGACCTGGAAGGAACAGAAGTTTTGCCTGCTATATGGGGTGAACTTTATGACTCGGTTTGCTGATTTTCGAAATCATTGATGGGTTACTATTACTTCACCTTACACCAATGCTGGGGGTTATTATTGTATGCACTGACACCAATGCTGGGGGTTATTATTACTTCCACTGACACCAATGCTGGTGGTTACTATTGCTTCCCCTTACACCAATGCTGGGGGTTATTATTGCATCCACTGACACCATGCTGGGGGTTATTATTACATCCACATACACCACTGCTAGGGGTTATGATTGCTTCCACTGACACCAATTCTGGGGGTTATTATTGTATCCACTTAAATCAATTCTGGGGGTTATTATTGTATCCACTTACACCAATTCTGGGGGTTATTATTGTATCCACTCGTACACCAATTCTGGGGGTACACCAATTCTGGGGGTTATTATTGTATCCACTTACACCAATTCTGGGGGTTATTATTGTATCCACTTAAATCAATTATGGGGGTTATTATTGTATCCACTTACACCTTTTGGGGGGGTTATTATTGTATCCACTTACACCAATTCTGGGGGTTATTATTGTATCCACTTAAATCAATTATGGGGGTTATTATTGTATCCACTTACACCTTTTGGGGGGGTTATTATTGTATCCACTTACACCAATTCTGGGGGTTATTATTGTATCCACTTAAATCAATTATGGGGGTTATTATTGTATCCACTTACACCAATTCTGGGGGTTATTATTGTATCCACTTACACCAATTCTGGGGGTTATTATTGTATCCACTTACACCAATTCTGGGGGTTATTATTGTATCCACTTACACCAGTTCTGGGGGTTATTATTGTATCCACTTATACCAATTCTGGGGGTTAAATTTGAATAAGCTTCTTAACTTTAACGTAATGCTCCTTAAATTGGTAGTAAACTTGACTTTTTGAGAGAAAAAAAAAATCTTTTCTCTCAAGGTAATGTCATAATGTGCTAGTATGCATCCCATACTAGCACATCATGAAACAATTGCCTTACGACAAAGCCCTCCAGTGGCTTCCATCTTCACCTAGTACAAAGCCCTCCAGTGGCTTCCATCTTCACCTAGGACAGTGGTTCTTAACCTGGGTTCGATCGAACCCCAGGGGTTCAGTGAGTCAGTCTCGCGGGTTCGGCAGAGGTGAAGACCCACACCCGACTCATATGATTCGTGCAGTAAATATTCATTATTATGTTTTTGTGTGAAAATCATGTTTTAATGGTTTTGTTCTTTGTTCTTAACGGTTTTGTTCATTTTGTGCACCTATGTATAAATATATACCTATGTTTTGAATTTTAAAAATCATATTTTATTTTTCCAATTAAGAAGGGTTCGGTGAATGCGCATATGAAACTGGTGGGGTTCAGTACCTCCAACAAGGTTAAGAACCACTGACCTAGGACAAAGCCCTCCAGTGGCTTCCATCTTCACCTAGGACAAAGCCCTCCAGTGGCTTCTATCTTCACCTAGGACAAAGCCCTCCAGTGGCTTCCATCTTCACCTAGGACAAAGCCCTCCAGTGGCTTCCATCTTCACCTAGGACAAAGCCCTCCAGTGGCTTCTATCTTCACCTAGGACAAAACCCTCCAGTGGCTTCCATCTTCGCCTAGTCTTCCTTCCAAGTTAGCGGACTCTGGCTGCTTGATTGGCCGAGCCGCAATGACATCACTCCCGCGCATGTGCGTGGGAGTCTCGGCTGCGGCACAGGGCTCTGAAGGAACGGCGTGGGTATGCTGTTCCTTCAGAGTGCAAGGGTTGATGACGTCATTGGCTGCAAGGACACTGAATATCTCCTGAACGGTGCATGTTTAGGAGATATTCCTTCTACCTACAGGTTAGCTTTATTATAATCTTACTTGAAGGTACAAGTGTCCAGAGGGAGTTTGCTTCCACTTTAACACATGAAAATACATTGCTATTGTGTGACCCTTTTGAAGTGTCTTGAAGGCCGTACTTGAGTTGACCACAACTGGTTTTGGAGGTTTACCTGGTCAGGCATATCTGAACACAGCAGGGTGCACTGTTGGTGAATTCTAAAGCAATAAAACGCTTGCTTAGGTGCTTCCATACATTGGAGGTTTAGAGCTCTCGGGGGAAACACACACAGCATGTGCCAAGTCCTTCCTCTCCTGTGTTTGCTGGTCCAAATGCAGTGAATCCATGCCATATGTCAAGGCTTGCTGAGATTTGTAGTTCCACTGCCTCTACTGAGCTTCAGCGTTGCCTAAGCCTTCTTCTATAGCTTCCTGTAAAATCTTGTCAAGTTTGGAGAAGTCAATTTTTTTTGTCCACGTTGCAGATGTTGGATTGTTCCTCTGCTGGTCTGGGTTATCCTGTCACGGTTGGGAGGTCACCCACCTATTTACACAGCCACCAACTGGTACCTTCCCGTGCCCTTCTGTCCTGGGAGTTTCCAGCTGCCATTGGCCGCTGGGCGCCCCCCTCCTTCCTGCTCCTGTCTGTCACATTGTCAAGTGCAGGACAGGACCTGGTTTCGCCATGTGGACTCTTGGTCGGTCTCTGCATCCCAGGTTTTCGCTGGTTCCCCCACCATCCTGGACTCTGATATTGTCCTGTACAGGACGGTCTTGTCACAAAGTGTCAGCTCATGGGGACAGCTCAGCACTGAATTTTTCCGATGGAAGGGTCTTCAGACTGAAGAGCCGCTGGGAGGTGATGAGGGGGCTCCTTATGTTTCAGATGTGCTCCTTCCCCACCCTGGTGAAGAATTCTGAGATGGTAAGTCACGTTTTGTAGAACAACTGCAAATACCATTCAGAAATAAAGCTCCCATATCATTTCAATTTGCTAAATTTGGTCTGTTTAGCTATACTGTCAGCCATTTTAGGCTAGAAAGAGCTCACCAGCCTCATCAGGATCTACTGGATTGTAGGTCTGTCAAAAATGATGTACAACACCCCTCCTTAATCATTTTAATATGGAGGCACCCTTGAAATACCTTACCAGCCTCAGGGAAGCCTGATAATATTTTCTATATCACTGAACATTACCGTGATGGTCAGTGGGATGAAAGCTCCTTATATTGGTGGTCATTGGGAAGAATGGTCGTTATGTTGGTGGTCAGTGAGAAGAATGTCCCTTACATTGGGGGTCAGTGAGAAGAATGTCCCTTACATTGGGGGTCAGTGAGAAGAATGCTCCTTACATTGGAGGTCAGTGAGAAGAATGCTCCTTACATTGGAGGTCAGTGGGAAGAATGGTCCTTACATTGGTGGTCAGTGGGACGAATGCTCCTTACATTGGGGGTCAGTGGGAAGAATGTCCCTTATATTGGTGGTCATTGGTTAGAATGTTCCATTTATTGGTGGTCAGTGGGAAGAAATGTACCTTACATTACATAGTTAGTCTGGCTGAAAAAAAGGCAAAAATCCATCCAGTTCAACCCACATGTGATCCATTAGTGAACAGTGGTGAAGAATGACCCTTACATTGGTGATCAGTGGGAAGAATGATCCTTATATTGGTGGTCAGTGGGAAGAATACTCCTTACATTGGTGGTCAGTGGGAAGAATGTCCCTTACATTGGTGGTCAGTGGGAAGAATGTCCCTTACATTGGTGGTCAGTGGGAAGAATGTCCCTTACATTGGTGGTCAGTGGGAAGAATGTCCCTTATATTGGTGGTCATTGGGAAGAATGCCCCTTACATTGGTGGTCAGTGGGAAGAATATACCTAACATTACATAGTTACATAGTTAGTCTGGCTGAAAAAAAGGAAAAAGTCTATCTAGTTCAACACACATTTGATCCATTGGTGAACAGTGGTGAAGAATGACCCTTACATTGGAGGTCAGTGGGAAGAATGACCCTCACGTTGGTGGTTAATGGGAGCAATGTTCCTTTTATTGGTGGTCAGTGGAAAGAATGCCCCTTACATTGGTGGTCAGTGGGAAGAATGTCCCTTACATTGGGGGTCAGTGGGAAGAATGTCCCTTACATTGGTGATCAGTGGGAAGAATGCCCCTTACATTGGGGGTCAGTGGGAAGAATGTCCCTTACATTGGTGGTCAGTGGGAAGAATGTCCCTTACATTGGTGGTCAGTGGGAAGAATGCCCCTTACATTGATGTCAGAGGTTACTTTCCTGAGAGGCAGAAAGTGCTTATTGCTCAAGGAAATCCTAGTAAACTCTGGAGGAACCCTGGTTGGTTTTTATGTGATAGGCTCCAGAAAGAAATGTTAATCAGTTTTTAACTTTTTTCCTATTTGCTGTTTCTTATATAATATGGAATAATGTAAGACTTAAGTGTTATTTAAGCAGCTGTACTGTATAAGTGACCCCTTTTCCCATCTCTCCAGCTCATGGCAGTCTCTCGCAGGCTTATGGGTCGCCGTCTCTTTGAATGGGGTATGAGAGGCACCGTGTATGGACAGTTTGTTGCTGGGGAGACCCTTCCAGAAATTCAGGCGTCTATGGAAAGGCTCAGAAAATTAGGTATTCGGCCCATGTTGGCTGTGCCGATTGAGGAAGACCTGGGAGAGGGCAAAACTGGGTAAGCAGCATTTTTTAAGTTGAATGTCAAACATACAACTAAAACAGCATTGGAGTGCTGATACATTAACCGTGTTGCCTGCCACAATTTTGAATTCACGTTGGCCTGAATCAGGACCAGACCAATGGGTTGACAGAAAAGCTGGCCACCTTGGGTGCTTCAGCAGGATGTGCAACCAAGGCCGCTAAGGTTGTTCACATCTCATGGTGGGAGGGGACACACTTTGGTCTTTTTGTTGTTGTCCCAGCATTGGCCATTCTACAGAACTCATAGATCCCACTTTTCTTCACTGAAATTAATTATTACAACTTGGTCAACATCCTGTCCTCAGGCTGCTATTGGCAAACAGAAGAGAAGTAACACAATCATAAGTCATCATGTTACTGTTTCCCCCTCTATGCCAACCAAGAGTTTTTTGGAGTGCTGCCTTGTTAGAGATTCAAGACTCTTAACATAAAAGCCAAACAGAAGCAAAACATTTGTTTTTCAGTTTTGTAAATACAGAAACTTTTGAAGCTCTGCCCAATTTTTGTTGCTATCACTGGAGATATTTCCCCCTTACTTCCTGTCTTGGTGACCACAGAGGAAGTGGGGGTAATCAGATCAATGGGGTCACAGGCAGCCATCAAAATAAAAACTGACAGAGGTTCTACCCATCTTCACTGTACTGAGCAAATGTGCTTTAATTGTTGTTTGTTACCCATTCAGAGAGATCCCTCGCACTTCCAGTCCAGCCCCCAGTGGGGCCACAGGTGCCAGTAGAAACCTGATATAGGTTCTAACCTTTTTTCACATTATCCACAACTTAAGAACTAAAGAGAAAATCTTTTTAACCAGGAATTGGCTTTTAAGACTCCTATTTTAGCACTTAGAAAAAATTAATTCAATCATGTTTTTAAAGGCTACATGATTGGGTTAAAGAATGTTTTATATCTGCCTGGAGTTCTGCTTTAATAATTTTTTTTTTTTGGACAAAATTTCTCATTAGATTTACTGTATCTTTATAACTTAGTAAAGTCAAACTTTATTTCTTGCACTCTCCTGTGGAGGTCGCTGTTGCTGGCAGATGCCAATGGCACCTCCTGGTGATAAGGAGTACTGCACTCTAGTTATATCGCCTAAAACAATGAAATATTTACTATGGTATGCCAATGTCTGTAGCTTGCTTATTAAATGTATTGGTACGTTTCATGTACATCTTTTCTGTCTGGCAGGGAGAGCTGGTACAAGCAGAATGAAGCTGTCATGCTGAACTGCGTGGATCTCTCATCCCTGGGTGGCGATCGTCCCATGATGCAGTTGAAGATCACAGCGCTCATGAGTGCTGATTTGTGCGTGAGTGAGAAACCGAGGAGGATTCACTATATCCGCTCTCCCCGGACCCTGCATTCACTATATCCGCTCTCCCCGGACCCTGCATTCACTATATCCGCTCTCCCCGGACCCTGCATTCACTATATCCGCTCTCCCCGGACCCTGCATTCACTATATCCGGTCTCCCTGGTCCCTGCATTCACCATATCCGCTCTCCCCAGACTCTGCATTCACTATGTCCGCTCTTTCCACGGACCCCACATTCACTATATCCAATCTCTCCGGACCCTGCATTCACTATATCCGCTCTCCCCGGATCCTGCATTCACCATATCCGCTCTCCCCAGACCCCGCATTCACTATATCCGGTCTCCCCGGACCCTGCATTCACTTTATCCACTTTCCCCGGACCCCACATTCACTATATCTGATCTCCCCGGACTCTGCATTCACTATATCCGCTCTCCCCGGACCCTGCATGCACTATATCCGGTCTCCCTGGACCCTGCATTCACTATATCCGCTCTCCCCGGACCCTGCATTCACTATATCCGCTCTCCCCGGACCCTGCATTCACTATATCCGGTCTCCCCGGGACCCCGCATTCACTATATCCGGTCTCCCCGGACCCCGAATTCACTATATCCGCTCTCCCCGGACCCCGCATTCACTATATCCGCTCTACCCGGACCCCGCATTCACTATATCTGGTCTCCCCGGACCCTGCATTCACTATAGCCGGTCTCCCTGGACCCTGCATTCACTATATCTGGTCTCCCCAGACCCTACATTCACTATATCTGGTCTCCCCAGACCCTGCATTCACTATATCTGGTCTCCCCGGACCCTGCATTCACTATATCTGGTCTCCCCGGACCCTGCATTCACTATATCTGCTCTCCCCGGACCCTGCATTCACTATATCTGGTCTCCCCGGACCCTGCATTCACTATATCTGGTCTCCACAGACCCTGCATTCACTATATCTGGTCTCCCACAGTACACAGAACATGCAAATGCAATTATTTTAGTAAATATAAACTGTTAAATACCTTTTCCCATCAGCAGTTAGACCAGTCTTGTGACTTCTATCAGTGTCCAGCAGAGCACATGTTAAAGCTTGTAGGAGTTTTCATTGTGCTCTAGGAGGATGCAGAACCCCTGACCTCTGTCTGGACAGCGCTGATTGGCCATGTACTGATCACAGGAAAAAAAAATCCCATCTCTAGCAATACATACCAAACTGAGCATGTGCAGAGTGACTCCACACGATATGTGTGATAAGGAGATAAGAGGGGGGCACTGGAAGAAGGAGAGGATCAGAAAAGACAGGATCAAACAGCATTTTTACACATTACAGAGGATTAATCCTTTAGGTCCCACAGTGAGTATAGCAAGCATGCTTTCCTGCATCTACAGACTGATTGTACTGTTGGGGGTTTAGTAACACTTTAAAATATGATTACATAAATCAACGAATGTGTTTTGGAAGCCAACGCAATCCTTCACCGGGGCAAAAAAATAAATATAAAAAAAGAATGCAACCTATTATACATACATTATATACATCGTATACGTACACACAGATAAATATAAGACCAATTATTCATGAAAAAATACATAAACCTAAATAAATAACTTCAATAATGTGATTTATGAACAAATAATGCAAAAACTGCATTATTTAAGTTATTCATTTTTAAATTAATGATATGATTGTGTCTGCTGTGTGTACTTTGTGTTTATAGATTGACATTCTTTCTTAACATCATATTTCGTTTGTAGCCCTGATGAAGGGAGAGTGTGTTGGCCCCCAAAATGTGTTGGAGTCTTTCACCAATGTTCTGGCAGGCCTGTTGTGTTTTCAGTTGAAGCAGGACAGGTACACTTGAATTGCTACAGGCAAGAAGAGGAAATGCTCCTGATTGCATTATTTTCCCTTTGTTTAGAAAGTTCTGTCCATGTGTTTGTCTGATCCGCCTCGGAGGAAGGAGCTTAGTCCTCACAGGATAGTGTCCATCATGGAGGGTGAGGTGAGTGCCTATAATCCGGAGAGGATACATGTACGTTGGTGGTCAGTAGCTCTGATACAACCACATCTTCCACACCTTTCCCATCTCTGCTGCAGGACTCCAGTTATTCCTTTCTGTCTGAGCAACAGAACCGGCACCTACAGAACTCAGTTCGCAGGCTTAGCCGGGTTGGAAAGGTAGGTACAATACTATGTTATTATTGGTGTAATGGAGGGGGTTTCCTTTAAGAGGGCAGAGACAACCTGCAAAGTCACTTTGTCAGAGCAGCAAAGCATAGTTCATCTTCCACTGCTTGACGTAAATGGGAACTTGACTTTTCATTTTTGTTTTTATTGCTGACTTGTTATTGGCCTGACTCAGTTCTTCGACATAAAAAATGAATTCTGTGCTTGTGCCACCACTGCTGCCTAGAATATGACTAGTAGACAATCAGGGCCAATATAAACATGCAGTATATAGTGCTACAAGGCAGTGATGGTGGTGAGTATGGTCACCATACAGTACACTCCGACCCTACAGTGGTAGACTCCAACATTTCCCCCACAGTGCCATCATGGTGGACTATACACTCCAACCCTACAGTGGTAGACTCCAACATTACTCCACAGTGCTATCATGGTGGACTCTATACACTCCAACCCTACAGTGGCAGACACCAGCATTTACCCCACAGTGCTATCATGGTGGACTCTATGCACTCCAACCCTACAGTGGTAGACTCCAACATTCCCTCCCCACAGTGCCATCAAGGTGGACTCTATGCACTTCGACCCTACAGTGGTAGACTCCAACATTTACCCCATAGTCCCATCATGGTGGACTCTACACATTCTGACCCTACAGTGGTAGACTCCAACATACCCCCCACAGTGCCATCATGGTGGACTCTATACACTCCAACCCTACAGTGGTAGACTCTAACATTTCCCCCACAGTGCCATCATGGTGGACTCTATGCACTCCGACCCTACAGTGGTAGACTCCAACATTCCCCCCCCCCCCCCCACAGTGCCATCATGGTGGACTCTATGCACTCCAACCCTACAGTGGTAGACTCCAGCATTTACCCCACAGTCCCATCATGGTGGACTCTATAGACACCAACCCTGCAGTGGTAGACTTTAACATCCCCCCCCCCCACAGTGCCATCATGGTGGACTCTACATTTTGACCCTACAGTGGTAGACTCCAACATTCCCCCCACAGT